AACTATCAACTCACTCGACATATTATCTCTGTACTGCTAACATTATCCTCCATTCTATTAAACTATCAACTCACTCGACATATTAACTCTGTACTGCTAACATTATCCTCCATTCTATTAAACTATCAACTCACTCGACATATTAACTCTGTACTGCTAACATTATCCTTCATTCTATTATACTATCAACTCACTCGACATATTAACTCTGTACTGCTAACATTATCCTCCATTCTATTATACTATCAACTCACTCGACATATTAACTCTGTACTGCTAACATTATCCTTCATTCTATTATACTATCAACTCACTCGACATATTAACTCTGTACTGCTAACATTATCCTCCATTCTATTATACTATCAACTCACTCGACATATTAACTCTGTACTGATAACATTATCCTCCATTCCATTAAACTATCAACTCACTCGACATATTAACTCTGTACTGCTAACATTATCCTCGATTCTATTAAACTATCAACTCACTCGACATATTAACTCTGTACTGCTAACATTATCCTCCATTCTATTATACTATCAACTCACTCGACATATTAACTCTGTACTGCTAACATTATCCTCCATTCTATTAAACTATCAACTCACTCGACATATTAACTCTGTACTGCTAACATTATCCTCCATTCTATTAAACAATAAACTCACTCGACATATTATCTCTGTACTGCTAACATTACCCTCCATTCTATTAAACTATCAACTCACTCGACATATTAACTCTGTACTGCTAACATTATCCTCGATTCTATTAAACTATCAACTCACTCGACATATTAACTCTGTACTGCTAACATTATCCTCCATTCTATTAAACTATCAACTCACTCGACATATTAACTCTGTACTGCTAACATTATCCCCCATTCCATTAAACTATCAACTCACTCGACATATTATCTCTGGACTGATTACATTATCCTCCATTCCATTAAACTATCAACTCACTCGACATATTAACTCTGTACTGCTAACATTATCCTTCATTCTATTAAACTATCAACTCACTCGACATATTATCTCTGTACTGCTAACATTATCCTCCATTCTATTAAACTATCAACTCACTCGACATATTAACTCTGTACTGCTAACATTATCCTCCATTCCATTAAACAATCTGCTCGCTCGACATATTAACTCTGTACTGCTTTCATTATCTTCGATTCTATTAAACTATCTGCGCACTCGAATATTATCTTTGCATTCCTTGCATTATGCTCTAATCCATATACTATTTTGCGTACTCGATAAATAATATCTCTGCCCTGGTATCTCTACAAATCTAATAAAATGAAATGGAATTTTACGTCTTAATTTTCTGCATCCATATTGTTCCCTTTAATGACTATATAATGGCTGAAAAGTCCGTCTTGTTAATCTGTGCTGTTTACATATATCCACTACATTGGTACATTTCAAATGAAATGATTGGGCAAATGAAAACGTTTGATATTGTATCTTTATTGATTGTTGGAAAAAGATTCCTGTATAATTTTGTTCTATTGCAGGGACTTTAATCGATTCTCGCACTGTTTCTCAGCATTTGAAGCAAATTGTACACGTAAAGAATCCAATTACCAATTTGCTGTAAGAAACCTGTTTACGTATACTTGCAATAACTATCACGGTATGTTCCCTGTGATCTATATACGATCAACATTTGTCAAAGTACAAAATAGCTTGCACAACAAGGTTACATACGCCCTCGACAGAAATCAAGAAATGACATTAAAACTGGTTTACTTTGGACTTGACCTAGATCCCAACAAATAACCAAGAGTAGGCAAATTCTCTCAAATATTTTATCCCCGAACATGCCCGAGTTCAGACCAATCTACATGAGAATAAAATCATTAATAACTACATTCAATACCACTTTCACTGTAATAATGTGCGAAACATATTTTGCATTGGGCACTATTTTAACACTTGTATTTTTATATTGCTCTACTATTGATGTATTGAGCACTATTTAAACACTTGTATTTCTATATTGCCCTACAATTGATGTATTGAGCACTATTTTAACAGTAACTATTTCTATACCGCTCTGCTTTCTATACCGCTTTGCAATTGATGTATTGAGCACTATTCTAACAGCGGTAATTCTATATCGCTCTACAATTGATGTATTGAGCACTATTTTTAACAGTAAATATTTCTATATCGCTCTACAATTGATGTATTGAGAACTATTTTAACAGTGATATTTCTATATCACTCTGCAATTGATGTATTGAGAACTATTTTAACAGTGGTATTTATATATCACTCTGCAATTGATGTATTGAGCACTATTTTAACAGTGGTATTTCTATATCACTCTGCAATTGATGTATTGAGAACTATTTTAACAGTGGTATTTCTATATCACTCTGCAATTGATGTATTGAGAACTATTTTAACAGTGATATTTCTATATCACTCTGCAATTGATGTATTGAGAACTATTTTAACAGTGGTATTTATATATTACTCTGCAATTGATGTATTGAGCACTATTTTTAAAAGTAAATATTTCTATATCGCTCTAATGTATTGAAAACTATTTTAACATTGTTAATATATTATTGTATTATACTATACATTTACAGAGATAAACGATAGGAGTAGGACCGACTGTTATCATAGTAATGACATGAACTCCAGATTGTACGTTAACCTTAGAAGATTATTATCTTCAGGATGCAGGTAATTGCACCACATATATATATGAAATTTTATGGTCGTTATGGAGAACTCCTTGATAAATACAATGAATCTGCTTCTGGCTGGTTTGTTTGATTATTTTATTCACATGATTTTGACCATAGTCGTGGCGGCGACTGTCGCGCTCGAAGCAGATCGCACTTACTCTTTTCGAAATACCTGAATGTACTTCTCTTTGGAGAAGTCCACTAGTAGAAGATATGAGTATCTGACAGCGCTGCACAAAAACTTTCTCTGAAAACGGTCATTATTATGAGTTCTTAAACGATTCGGTATATATCTAAAGTTTGACTCCTTCAACATATAGTGTTAGGGTGTATTGAGACGAGTCTCAATGAAAACACTGGCCTAGGTCACAGAGCCCGTAGCTTTAGGGTGGAATCGCCTCTAAACCATCAAGTCTGGCTATGGGCCTGATTAACGAAAAGAATACACTGGACCAACAAGCTTATGCGGATGTTTTACTCTTTTCAGACGCCCTTCAAATATCCCGAATTATTACATAACCAGTAAATGCGATGCTGTATCACACATATTACAAGATACTGTCTTAAAACTTTACGGCGATGTCCTATATTTTCAAAAGGGTTGCGATTTTGAGCCCGAGGTAGAACCAGAAGTAGAACCCGAGGTAGAACCTGAAGTAACACCAGGAGTAGAACCTGAAGTAACACCAGGAGTAGAACCTGAAGTAACACCAGGAGTAGAACCTGAAGTAACACCAGGAGTAGAACCTGAAGTAACACCAGGAGTAGAACCCGAGGTAGAACCTGAAGTAACACCAGGAGTAGAACCCGAGGTAGAACCTGAAGTAACACCAGGAGTAGAACCTGAAGTAACACCAGGAGTAGAACCCGAGGTAGAACCTGAAGTAACACCTGAAGTAGAACCCGAGGTAGAACCTGAAGTAACACCAGGAGTAGAACCTGAAGTAACACCAGGAGTAGAACCTGAAGTAACACCAGGAGTAGAACCTGAAGTAACACCAGGAGTAGGATCCGAAGTAACACCAGGAGTAGGATCCGAAGTAACACCTGAAGGGTCGAACTTCCCAATCAAATGTTATGATTGTAATAGTGGATCGCTTTCATATAGAAATGAAAACTGTCCAACCAATGGTCTGATTGATGAATCTAAAAGCAGCGTGGTTTCCTGCCAAGGTCATTGTTTTTCAAGACTTGATAGATGGCAATCGGGAGGTAACAATTAGTTTTGTTATATACATATATGTAATCGAATATATAAACACACACTAGGTAGCCTGAGTTACTCCGCGATCAAACTATTTTATTCCTATTAGGCCTACCTACCAACAACGGCAGCAGAACGTTGGATTTGGGGGAGGGGGTTGGCACTTCAAAACCTCTTATTGATAATTAATGGAGTGAAGCCGCCATTGTTTTCTACAACCATAGATGCCAGGCCGTAGATACTAGGGGCAAGATGAGTGGGGGGGGGGGGGGGGGGGGGGGGGTGTAGGCGGCGTAGTGCCATTACCGCAACTAAACACCATTGCCCCTCTGAATTTAATTGCCCGTACGAACAATCATATCTGGCTACGGGCCTGGTCCATGCGCCGTTGTTAAGCAATTAGTTAAGTTCAAATCTTGCAAAATCAAATCCTTTGTCACGGGCTGTCATGTGTTCGAAGCTTTGAATGTAGACAGATGAGTTGGTCTGTTGGCTTGCTGTCAAACGTCTTGCCTTTTTTTGTGACTTTTTTCTGAGCCATATAACTATCATAATATATATTTTTCAGTTGTATATAGAGGTTGCAGTTCCTGGATGTGGTTACCAGAATTTCAAACGAATCCAAACAATGGTTGTAGACGTATCAATGGTGTTCTCTGGTGTTTCTGTGATACAGATAATTGTAACACTATTTCAATGGAGATTGGCAACTAAGACTTCCACCATCTTCAACACAATTATCAAGCTAATCCCTTGATATCATTAACCATTTTTCTTGTATCAAAGGAATAAATAAATGCAACAATTTGATTGTAAGCATGCGAATACAGCCTACCAAAGCCCTCGTGGGAAAGACTATAAATAATATGACTGCACGTGTATTCGATGGCATACAATCCAATCAAACCGATGTATTTACAAACGTTCGTAATACAAGAAAAGTGGCTAATAATGTCAAGCTGTTAGACGGAGTTCGTAATAGTTTGACATTGTGGACATCATCAAAATGAACAGCTGCTTTTGACTCATTTCTGGTCCTTCAAATTCTGTTACACACGTATTTTCTATTTCCAAATGTAAACAATTCATTTAAATCACTTTAAAAATAATGATACGTGAGATTACCAATTTATATTCGTGGGATACTGGTTATAACTTATATTGTCTCACAGTTTGCTAGCAATCAAACCCTTATAGTCATGAATTACTAATGTGCATATATCGCGTTTACTCGAGTATAATACGCAGCTTAAGATAATACGCATCTTCTGCTTTTAAATTTGTGTTTTGGATGAAATCCGATTCAGCTAATAATGTGATAAATTGTGATATGATATAGTATTTTATAATTAATACAAATGTATGTTATATTTACACCATTTTGTGTTCACATCCTATATATTTTTTAATACATCTTATCTCATATTTTATTTTTGTATGAATTTTATGTCATATTCTCAAAGTTCAATGTCTCACAAATATTTAACATTGATTTTGTAATTGTTTATATTCCTGATTAAAGCATTCAAAAATGTTAATGTTTTTTATAATATATGCTACTTTTTCCCGGCCTAATAACACAATCAGTGCACAAAATACTCATATATAACAGGATTAGTCAACATGACATTGACAGGATCTAATGCAGTGGTTTTCAAACTGTGGGTATAGTTATGAGATTTTATTGAAGGTAATAAGGTGCTTTGTCGTCTATACTATTAAATTTTTGGAAAAAAATTATTCTCTCAAGAGCCCTTTTTGACTGTTTTTGCTAGCATACTATCCAATCAAATCATCGCACTTCAGTGATACAAAATAGACGGCAATTGCAGTCAAGGTATTCTTAATATCTTGACATTGTGAAGATGAGCCAACAGTGGAGACAGACGCAATGTTCTACCTGAGCAATCATAAAAGCTTAATGGTCGTCAAAACCTAAAGTTTGCATTTATTTATTGCTGTTTGTGGTATGACTGGCAAGTGGAAGCACAAAGATTGTCAAAAATATTGGGCGTTTCTCTACTGGTGTAGTATACAATAAATATGAGGGTATGAAAAAGTAATCATCTATAGGCATCTTCTCTTTTATTATACCAATAACATTTCTCAAATATCATTTGAATTCAGTGGTGACGCCACTTGGGGTACGGGTGGGGCATTTGCCCCTTAGAAAATTGCACCCCCACATTTTTATAACAAATTCAAAAATATGAATTTTGTATGTTTTTGTCACAAATTATGTGTCAGTTTGTACTGATTCAATTCAATTTTTCAAAATTCTTCTTAGGAAAACCCTCTTAGACACTCCACAAAAGGCTTTCGACTATGACATTCCTGCATTTTGAATTCAGCCTGGACAGTTGTCCCCCCATTGAGTCAGTCTGGCACGTATATGTACCCAAAGACTCGATAGGAGAGCGCCACCACTCTTACAATCTTATCAATCATCTTCCTCTTGTACCAACCCACCAAATACTTCTGTTGGTATAGATTGTT